TTTATTTATATTATTTTTTGCCTTCTTGCATCAGTTAAAAATTAACTATTTATATTATTTCTATCTTTACTATTTTTTGAATAATGAATAATTGCCACAGGTTTGTAGTAGTTAATTAAAGTTTATTTTTTATTTTATTTTTTTTTTTAAACTTTGGCTAGGAAAGCTGGTGAAGCCTTTATTAAATCTATCTGTAGATACATACATAATTTTTGAACTATATTACAACCTATTACTAGGCTATGCTAACCCAACTGGCGACCCGACTTTTATCTGGCTACCCTAATGGGTGTCCAAATATATCCTAGTTGCACCACCAGCACACTATAGCGAAACTAACAATAGCGGTCAGGGTATCTCCCACTCTGGAGAAACATTGCCATTAAACCGCCTACTGGCGCGGAGGATCAGACCCGTATCTGATACTACTTCTGCATTCTGAAACTACTATATCTAGCTAGACCATGTTCTCCGCATCACCCACCTTTTCGCTTCTATATAACTCCCAAATTGGTAACATTTGGGTTATAGATCCTGATGATCTCCCAGTTTGGTGTGCCATGTTATTAGTTCTCCTAAAGAATTCTGACAAAGGTCTAGGATCTGCAGGAACTCGTATCTCAAGCCAGAAACTGCTGCCTAGTTAGGTTCGCCATATGACAGAGTTGGTATTTCATTGACGGGTATTCCCTTCCACATTTCTGCCCAGGTACTACTAACCCGTATCTCAAGCCAGTTTTCTGCTGCCGCAGTTCAACCACAGATACCCCAGGTCTTAATGTTATACAGTCGCTCAGTGCGCTCCTCCATTCTTTTAAGTACTACCTGCTATGGTAGGGTTTAGAACTTATTTCACAAGTACATAGGACAATTCTGGTTGTATCTAGGGAGTTACACCGACTCCAGTGATGCCATACTACTATATTATACTTGCTCCCAGCATGTTGTTATACAAGACCAGGACAATTCTGGTTATATCCAGGGAGTTACACCGACCCCAGTGATGCCGTACTATCATTTGAATTGTAAACCCTAGAGGTTTGTAGATCCTAAACTTGTTCGTCATAAACTTCCATATAGGTGTGACCAGAGCCCGATTCGGTACTTTTACATATACTCAGAATGTTAAACAACCTCCATATTCTTTGCCTTCTATAGTATTTTCATTCTGTACTGCCAGAGATGCTTCTGCTTCTGGTAAGGCCAATCCTTTATCACAGTCTGTCCACATGTTCGCCACTTTTTCACTACTCCAACTTTGGTAATGATGATCACCCTCCCAATCAAGTACCTGTATCTTCAATCCAGATAAGAACTAATTTGCACAGTTCATTGACCACTCTTCCAAGCAAGTACCCCACAAGTTGGATGTAAGGATGTTGGTATTGCCTAAATTGGAGATACAAGGTTGTTGGTGCTGCCCCATCTCAAAGGACTTACTTGCGCAATCTTCATAGTCGCAGTCTTCTGTAATACCGCAGTTACACATAGTGCCCACCCTCCACATTTGGGTCTCTTTCTAGAAATTCCTAATCCAGAATCATACTTGCACTTGGACTTAGCCACAGGGCTTCACATTCAATTATGGCCTTTAAGGTTACAGAAACAAATTAAATAATTTGCCTCCAGCCCAACTTGAACCGTCGACCTTGTCTGTAGGGGTTTGAGAGCTTAACCACTAAGCTACAGGACCCAAACCCTTTTAATTAAAGGTTATTACAGATGCATATGATCTATATTTTGATTATTACAGATATATACGTATAATTTATACGTATTTTGATTATTTAAAAGCTTATTTTAGATTTATATGATGCAATTATATAGTTTGAGTTTTAAAATATTTATTTAATATAAGGTTTAAATATATATTTATTTCGTATAATTAAAAAAGAAGTTAATTAATAAATATATATTTATAATATTACTTTAAATTGTAAATATATATTAATCATAAATCTAGTTTATAATTATTCATTCTAATACAATTATTATAAATATATAATGATTGTAAACCTAGTTGATAATTATTATTTCTAATATATGATAATTGTGAATCAAGTTCATAATTATTATTTCTGATAAGAGTAAAATACTGAATATAGATTTAATGATTTACTATGATTAGTTACAGGTTTTTACTCTCATGCACTCATATATTTATAAACCCAGTTCGCAATAAGATTCAACTATAATTATGTATAATTTATTTTTGTAGTCAAAATATATATGATGCAGTTAATTACATGATAATTGCAAACCTAATTTATAATTATTTTCTAATATAATTATTATAATTGTAAATCCAATTTATAATCAAAATTCAAATACAATTATATATGATTTATTTTTGTAGTAGAATATATATAATGCAGTAATGTATAGTTTGTAATAGTTATTAATATATATATATATAAACTAAATAAATAAAAATAAAAGAAAGATCAATCAAATAACCAAGAGTCTCTTTACAAAAATCCATAAATTAATATTAATCTACAAGTGAAAGACAAAAATTTTTATTTATAACTATCATAATGAAACATTCAAACAGAACTTCTCATGTATATATGCCAACACCAAAATTATAGATTAAATCCAAACAAAACAAATATGAAAAGACTACGAAAACTTCTATAGATAATAATAATATATCAACATATAGTAATACAGAAGATATTGATATGTTTTTTGAAGAAAATCTAATTGAAGAGACTAAAAGTTCTTCAACTAGTAATTATATCTTATCAAGTGAGGTTAGTATTATTTGTAAAATACTTTAAAGAATATTTTAAAAAATCTATTATTTCAAATAAACTAATTTATTAGTTAAAGTCTAAAGAAAGTTTTGATTATGAAAATATCGATAATTATCAATTTTAGTATAGTTCATTAACTAATACTATAGAAGAAAATTCGATTAGTTATGATGAATTTGATGACACTACAAATATTTTAATAAATAGTAACGATGAATCTGATATTTTAGAAGATACTATGGCAACTGATATATTAGAAGAACAGTCTTCTGAAGAAGCAATAGCAACAGATATACTAGAAGAAATATCTTCTGACTTTGAGGGTTTTAATAACAAATATGGTCTATATTTTTCAAATTTTACATCAGCAATGATATTTATTTTAATTACTAAACATATGACTTGTAAGTATTATTAATTTAATCAAATATATATATATTTAATTTATAATAAATGGATAATAGTACTAATTTTATATAGCAACCTCTGAATATGAATATCTTGTTAAAATTATAAAACATCCTGAGTTTTGAAAAGAAGATGTTCCTACAAATATTCGCCAAATTCGAAAGTAGAGAAATAGATTACCTTTGATTAAAATATATAATTAAGATGTGCCTCTCTGTATAAACAAAACACCATCTACATGTGAATCTATAAAAAAGGCCTTTACTATTTCACCACTAGCACATCTGGATCATATTTTAAACAATCCTATACTTATGTCAAAAATGTATTTTGGTCCCGGAGTTGTTACTGATGAAAAGCAAGAATTTTGGCATGGTGAATTATAGCAAAATTCACCATTATTTAGCAAATATGAAATAAAAAACAATAAAGGTTAGTTTTATAGAATCAATAAAATTAATATAAAAATAAAAAAAAATTTAAAATAAAGATAAATAATTAATTATATTTTATTAGAATTTTGTAGAGCTGGTGATTGTTTAATATATAATGAACAAAAATCAACTCTTATGTGCCGAGTATGTAGTATAGTAATTGATGAAATAGATAATAATTTACTTAAGCTGAAAGTTAATCAAATTCTTTCACATAAAGATCTTCTCAATATTTGCTCTAATGATACTTGTCATACTTGTGGAAATGGAAAAGAATTATGGCTAGTAGATGGAGAAACAAAGTTAATTAATCCAGACAATGTAAAACAACATATTAATATTTGGCTATATGATATATCAGAGCCTTCAGAATATGAATTTTATATTCAGGAAATTATATACTATTTTGATAAAAAATAGAAGTACTGTAATATAAAATTAAGACATAGATTACCTAGTGAATATATTACACTTACACAATTATCAACACATTTACTGACTTTAAAATTTTTTTTAGATATCTATATTGATGATTTTGGTACTTATAGAAATGTATATCATTCATTAGGTGGTTTCTATTTACAGTTTGGTAATATGCCATTAGCTCTTAGAAAGCAATTAAAAAATCATTTTTTAATTGGCTTAGTTCCTTTTGGTGCAAGTTTTAATGATTTTATTAAACCTGTTCTTCATGATATTAAACAATTAAAAAATAGGTTGATTATTAAAACTTTGCATAGTGATACTTGGGTTGTTGGTGGTATTGGGAGTATTACTGCTAATTTACTACAAGAAAATGATTTAGCAGGTATAAAACGATATAATACTAACCATGGCTGTCGGGTATATCATGTGCCAAATAATCAGTACACCAATTTTAATTATGATTATATATGAAATGCATGTTTTTCTCAGCAAACAGAAGAGCAGTTTATAGAGATTGAAAATCAAAATTTAAAAAAAAATAGAAAGTAGCTAGAAGTTAAATATGGATTAATTAAGCCAGGATCTTTAAAAATACTTAAATAGAACTAGCATATTCAAACACTATATGATGCATATCATTTAATGGCAGGAAAAGCATGTCTTCTTTTAGAAGCAACATTTAATATATTTAATTCAAGTGGTGAAAATGCTTTTTTAAAACATTGGAAAAATATAGAAAAACCTGCTAATTGAAGTTGAATGCCTAATCTACTATGACATTGGCAAAGTTTTATGTTTTCTGATGTATTGAGGTTTACAATATTAATGCCTTTCATACTTAACCAATTTTTAAAGCCTCATCATATTAAAGCAAATACTTTAGCTATATCTAAATTATGTACTTGTTGGGCGATTGAAGCTAAAGTACTAAAACTTGCATTTTCACATAAAATAACAATAAATATTTATAAAGAATTACAAGAAACACTTGAACAAGAACATAAAATATTAATACAGGTAAGCAAACTTTTATATAATTAATATATTTAATTATTATATATATCTTTAATTATACTGTATTATCTTAAAATAATGCCCGGATATAGATTAAAATTTGGCCTAAATTAAGCTTAGTTTAGGCTAATTTAAGCTTAATTCATGCCAAATTTTAATTTACGCTCCAAGGTATTATTTTGAAATAATATAGTATATATATCTTTTTATTATTTAATATTAAAATTAATATCGAGTCTGAGCTTGGTATACTTGATATATGTAAATACGGAAATGTAGTAATATATGTAATGAAAGTATTAACAATAAATAAAGTCATGGGCAAGATCCCACCTGAACACTAAAAAA